CTTTATCTGATATTATTCTTATCCAAAACTCTATTAAAAACTATTCATATTGAACTCAATTAACAAACCTATATAATAAAAACATGAGAATAAGTTGAGTCTTTCTTTTGGTTTCCTTTGCTTCATCACTAGTTAACTTATTTGCTGCGTCAATGCTTTCAAGTATTTTTTTAGCACCTATTTTATCTGGATCTTGTCCGCCTAAGCCAAACCATTTATAACGACTTCTGACTAGATCGATAACTAATTTATCTTCTTTAACTAGTACATTAATAAATTGATCATAAAATAATTGAAGAAATTCTTCTATTTGTCCTTTTTCCGGATCATTTCTATGTATATCAAGCTCTAGAGATTTTTGAAGTAATTTATTATTACTTTTTAATTTTATTGCACTGGTGACTAATGTAAAGCGATTAGGATTAGGCTTACTCAATTTTATTAAAGTGAATTAGATTTTAATCTACTCCTTTTCTATAAAATATAATAATATATGCAAAATTAATTATGTTTATTCATTAATCAATATTAAAAATAATTAGAAAAAATTCATCCATGAATTCCTCCCAATATAGATAATATAGCTAATACTATAAATGAAAAATAACCATCAAAAGGAAAATTCAAGTTATTAGATAAAGACCACATCCAAATCAATCCTCCTATAAGAGGACCTACAGAACGCATAAATGCAACCGCAGTCTGAGCTATCCCGTTCACTTTACCTAATGAATTTGATCTCACAGAATTGTTGATAAAGATTGCGATTGAACTATGTAAAAAAATATTCAATATAATTCTAATAGATGTTACAAATAATAAAAAGAACCACGCTATTGTATCTTTTTCAGAATAGTTCCAACCTTTAATCTTGTTTACTATTGGAAATAATAAATAATTAAAGCCACTAAAATACCAAACATATTTGTAAGATGTAACTCGGTTAACTCTTTTATCTATCCAAGGATAAATAATGATTTGAGAGAATATTTGTGTTATACCCATTGATGCGAATATCAATGCTAGGTTTTTAGTAGTTAGTCCGAACTCGCCAATATTGATATCAGTAATTGCGTAAATTAGGTAAACTTCGTCAAAGATAATATTTTGAGACCTAATATAGAGTAACTAAAGATTATAACCCATGAAGCCAAAGGTATATTAAAAATACTCTTTTTAACCGTTTCTCTTTTGTCTGGATTATTGCTCGTTAATAAAGCTACGTTTTCATCGTTTTTGTAACTTTTGAATATTTCTTTGAGTTTGAAATACCCGGTTAAGATACTAATCAAAATAATAAAGGCTATTATCAAACATGGTAAAAGGTACGGGTTGTCTTTTAAGAATATAATATTTGCGAAAATTAACGGATAGTTAAGAACAGGGTTAGATAAATATCCACCAATCATTGGTCCAACGATGAATCCCATTGACCAACAAGAGATTATAATCGAATAGACTTTTGCTTCATTTTGTTTGTTGCTAATTTCTCCAATAATACTCTTGGTTACTCCAGAATTACCTAACGAATAATTGTTAATACCTTTAATATTTCATTTTAATCATATGCTTACCATTAAGAAATCCACTAATTGAACGAGTAAGCATGGCTTGCCATAACGAATGACTTAATCCAAACAGCAAACAACTGATAATAGACTCTAATAAACCAAGCAACAATATTAGACATCGACCATATTTATCGGACAACATTTCCCATAATATCGAAGAACAAGCTTTAGCTAAAAAGAATGACGATGCTACAAAAAAAAACTTGTAAATATATTGTTCAGAATATCTAAATCATAACGTACTAACTAATTAATCCAGTGTAACTACTGATTTGTTTGTCATCATCAGTAATATTGAAATCTTTTATCATGAAATATATAAACGGGAATATAAATGTTGAACTAATGGCTTCAGAGAAAACCATAACTCCCAATATAAATATTTGAAATCTAGGTAACAATTTTTTATCATGTTCCATTTTTTACAATAATCTATAATAATCAAAATATTTACTCTTAAATAAACTTTATTATTTATGAAAACAACCTTAACTTATTAATAAATATGAAACGTAATACATATTAAACTTATATAATTGCTTAATGTTTATTCTTAATTAGTTATTCATATTTCTTATTGCATATCATTAGGTAAAATTAGAGATTGGAATCAAATATTCAATTCATTGAATATTCAAATGAATTCATATAAATATGAATTTGAATTAATTCGAATGAATTTAACAAATTCGAATTTGTAAATTCATTTTAATTCATACATATT